TCCAGCGTACCACGCTGCTTCTCTCACCCCCGTTCGTTGGCTCCCTCTACCTACCCTCTAGCACACGGCTCAAAGAGTTCCCCTTGCCTCGGTGCCCCCTTCATCCTCTCACGAGCCGAGGCCTCGTGCTTTTGCCACGGCATTGTTGCTATCGATTCGGTTCTGAAAACGTGTTTTTCTTCGGATATTTCGTGGCTTTCCCCGGCCACGGTCGGCTCTCTGCTCGTCTGGAATAACGAGGATTCTAAGAAACCCCCGGAGTGTCCTCCCTTCCCCCCGATCCGTCTTCACCCATGTTACTCTCTTTCTTTCTCTCTTTCTATTATCATCGCGCCAAGTCTTATCCGCTGCCCGAAGGCAACGGCCGATCCCGTTTGTCGCGATCCTTTCTTCCGAATGTTGACGCCTGCTCGACTTGTTACGTAGGTGAACCTCCTGCTCGAGGTTCGGGGAACCCAGTCTCTCTGTTTCAATTCCATTTTCTATTTTCGGAGTCGTTCCGTTCGTACAAGATTCAATTTATTAAGACACACACAATGAGTCGGAGAATTTAGAATTTTTCACAGTAATTGGAAAACTACTTTTCATTTATTACATATCGCGTTGAATGTGGCTTCTGTCAAATTGCAAATGGTTTCGTGAAAATTTCGTTATGTTAGAGAAGTGTGAAACTATACTTAGTTACCTATCTGTGCATTTTTGATAACGGAGAAACTAATATCTACATTTTCACCACTACATTTTATTCTTCGTTGTTTGTCAACTGTACATTCTTAATAACTGATGAAGAAACTAATAATATAATAATTAGGAAGCTAATATAATAATATGAATAATATGGACGATTTTGTGTTTGCGATGCCTTCTTCATCTCGATTTGCTTTCATTGTGTTATCACTAGAGTATCGTGTTAAATTGCACTTGAAATGACCAAACTCCTTTAAAATGAAAATAATTTTAATCAAATTTCTTCTTGTTTGTATTTTCTAATTTAAATTTTTCACACGAATGACTGATTGTCTGTTCTTTTAATGCAGGCAACCTATATTAAGTGTTACAAGAGCGACTTTTTACTTTGTTGCATTGAAGTTCCAAGTTTTATG